GCAGAGCCTCACACACAGAGTACTTGCTCGATTCTGCTGAACTGGGCCATTTCCACTGCCTAGGTAAGGGTGAATAATCCCTTGTTCCAGTTCCATGTTATTTCACCCGACTCCCTCAGATTCCAGCTACTGCAATATTTAAATCCATAGCTGCTCCTTCTCTTGGCTTGCTTGCTTAAGAAGCTGCCCATCCACCGGGTAAGTTTGGTGGACGTTATCATTTGACAGAGGGGACAAGAATAATCAGGGAAGGAATTCTGCAAATGGAAACGGGGGAAAAACGGGCAAGATTCAAATCAGAGCTTGGCTAGAGGGAAATGCCGTTAAAATTCAGACATTTTTCCCAAGAGGCAAGAGCCAAGGGAACACTCCTGGCACACGTAGCGGGTGACTAACCACCCACACATAGCTCGAAACATAAATGTGCAGTCACATCTTGCTGACAAAGGTCTTCTACTTTTCATTCTTCCGCTTCCATGAGTCCCCAAAATTTCGTACTTACCAGTTCATAGGCAATGTCCCATCAATTGCTCGGAATTAGCGGCATGCTGCTAATTACGCAAACCTAGACACAGAACAGCATTTTCAGCAGAATTTGCACATATGGAGAGCAGCAAATTTGTGCCTAGAGCATGTTTATATTTTGAGAAAAATATTTCTGATGTTTACTTATTGGACCAGTAGCAAAAAGTCTTACTTTAGAAAGCAAGTTTTATTTATTGGCTTTGCCGTTTACAGAACGCATCTTGCCTTTTACAGTTTGTTTAGAGATTATTTTTTTTTAATTTCCCTCTCTTCTGTAACTATAATTTACCACTAGAGACACTATTTTTGTACTTACAGCTGCAATACATTACAAGGATTAAATAAGTCTTCATTACAAATACACAGGTACAGCGCTTTCTTCTTGAGCTACCTCAGCGATCCAATAGGCGTAAGAGAAAACGGGAAAAAAAATTGTAATTTTGGGTAAACAGAAAACTCTCTGTGAAGGCCAAAGGCATAAAATATTTATTACTAAGTAGAAAGCATTCTTTCATCTTGGATAAAAAGGAAACACTTTATTAAATGGTCATTTCTTAAATGGTCATTTCTACCCTGTAGTAAAGCTGGCCCATCTGATCTAATGAAAACAGAAGGATGAGCATTAGTCACAGGAATTGCTATTCTTGAGCTACAGAGCCAAAACTCATAGAAATTAAATGGTAGCTTCAGGCATATACTCAGGGTTTGGACTTTTTTCTTGCTGAAGAAGTGACTTTTGGGACACAGAAAGGTCTCAAATCTCCTCTGTGAAGAAACTGTAATTTTTGCTTTCTTCACTCAGAAAGTCTGACAAAGACAGGAAAGTAAAGAAGGTATAGAATGATCAGTCTCTTAAAATATGTATGTGAAATCACCACATGCATTACAAAATCTGGTCTAATAAGGACCTGATAAGGAAAGTTTTTTCTCCCCATTAGCACTTTTCAAATAAAAACATCAGGAGCCGCTTTCAGCTGTCAAAACCAATGACAAAAGCTAATGAAAATGCAATATATCTTCTAAACCAGTCATTTTCTCCCCCACAAAGGTTGCTGTTCACCTGGCACGTCACACGCTATTAAAACGGTGCAAAGGGAAAACTTGAGGCCAGTAGCAAGGCAGCCGGTGACCCGAAAGGTCTGTCGGTATTTCCTTAGAACTAACAGACACAAATAGCTTTAGGGATGACACTTTACCACCACTGCACATCATCCCGTGTTGCTGTTTGTCTTGACTACCCTCTCAGGAGGTTCTGCTCTCACCGCATCCTCTTACGCCGAGCAAGTATTTAGCAGGATTGTGAGACTGCACATTTATATGAGAAAAAAAAAAAAAAGAAATATCAGATTTAAAGCAGTAAGGACTCTATAATAGATAGTTGCAATGGCCAGGGATGTACGTTCTCCAGTATGCAATCGAATGCAACCACCCTGACACAGCTCAGTGCTGCCTCTGACCTCTGCACTCCACGATGCTCTGAGGCTGACTCAGGTTTAAGGGGGTTGTATTAACAGGTGATCTTAATGAATTTCTAAAAGACAGCACTGTCAGCCAAGTAATTAGGACCCACTTGTAGCTGCGTGTGCAAATGTGAGCTCTGTGGGCTGTCCACAGGACTGCAAATTCCAGCTCCTCTTATGAGAGCTGCTGTCTCGCATAGAGGATGGCTCTAGACAACCCCACCGCATTTCGGCATGCCTGTAAAGCCGGTGAGGTGGCATCTTTAGATCTAAGACACCTTGTGATGGGTCATTACAAACTGCTTTGTGACACTATCTGCTTTACTGTCTCAGCATTACACATTGACATTTCCTCCTGGAGACACCTGCACAACATGCTCCAGAGCTGGTAGCACCCACATTTCTCCAAATATTAGGAACCTAATTTTTTTCTTTGGAAAATGCTGCTTGCCCAGCAAGTAAAAGAACACCACCTCACCACCCAATAAAACCCCCAACCTAACCAGCAACAAAAAACCTCCATCTAAACTCCATCCTTCACAGGGATGTGGGAGAATTTCTTACCATGGTGGTTGCCCATTTTTTCCCACATGCTAAACACAATAGCTTACACAGTTTTCCACTGTGCTTTCTTGAAAGGAAGGGTATGTACTACAGGAGAGCCAGCTCATCCTATAACCAGGCTTCCTACAGATGACCTTGCAGTTACATGTTCATACGCCCTTGTCCTTAGATGCCTAATGGGGAAACACCTGGCTTGGACGGCCTAATTCTCACAGCGTCAAGATAAAAACGATAAATATATATAACTCCACTGAGCGGAAAGGAGAACGGTTTGTATGACTTGCTCCAGGCTCACAGCCTGACTCAGTCACAGGGCCAGGATTAAGTTTTAGGAGTTCCCCACTCCCAGGTCCATGGTCAGCTTACCAGCCTGTGCATCGTCAGGATTGTTGCCTCATGCCACGCTGCAGAAGAATGGTGAAATGCAGCTTTCCGTCCTGTTACGATTCACCCAAATTTTTCAGATTTATTAGGTACAACAGATCAGTAACATAACAAATGAAAGCTCTCAGTAAAGTTTAAGCAATCAGTTCCCATCTCTGTTTCACCAAGAGTGCAGTCGGTTTCCTGGTTCAAACCTGCAACAGACAATTTAAGTTTCATATCCTGCATTTTTAGCGCCTTTCAGGGCTAAAAGCTATGAAACGGTAAAGCATACAGAGAATCAAGCCCTCTCTTTCCTCATGGAACAAAGAAAATCCTCAGCATCAGCAGGCAGAACTTTTTTAGATGTCCACGGAAGTCATGGGAATGACTTGCAAGGCTTTGACCTAGCATATCCACATAGCTGTCTATCCCTGACATGGCAAAGATTTTTAATTTTGCCTATGTGAGAATGGATTAGCTTCATATTTCTATTTCGGAATTGATTGAATAGCAATTGATCCAGTAATCTGGATCTATATACTGACAACAATCTATCTACAGAAAAGATTTATACTAATAAATTATAATTCATTACGTGCTTTTCTTCCAAACTTACTTACAATGCTTCCCACAAGTTATGATTAATTGCCACGAGAACATGTATGGAACAATTTATTTGCTCATTTACTAACCAGCTTTAGTCCCAATACACTCAAGAATTGGATCCCTTGTGTCTTGCCGAGCCATTATTCCACTTTATCCCTTGATGCTGGTATGTAAAAATGAAGGTGCATTTCCTTCTGTGCATACATGCTACAACACTAGAGTCACTCTAGTCTAACACACCAGCAGCTTTTAAATATGGCATTCATGGCATGGTAACATCTTAGCATTTGCTTCAAGATGGGAAGTCAAATAAAGCTTACCTTAACATCTGAACAGCCAAAACTAGTCTAGACTAAATAGGAGCATTCAGATCATCTCTGTGGACAGTGACACTCTATCATATTAGAATTACAGTTTTCGACTAAAAAGGAAATTCGTGACCAATGTACATGAGAAAAGGCTCAGTACTATGTGGTGGCAGAACTCACGCCAACGGCTATGTAGATGTCTATCAGCAGTCTAGTAAAACTGCATGTGAAGAATGGGTACTTTTCTCCCCCAGTATGTCCTCCTGAAACAGATAATTGATCTTCTCAAGAAAGCTGTAGGACCCCAAGAACATTTACTGTGACTTTCAGGAACCAGCAGAACATCAGCCCGACCTTGAGAGCTCGATGCTTTGGCCATACCCTGCTGCTCTGTAATGCTCTGGCACCACCCAAGTGGGTTAATCTTGTCAGTGGGAATACACAAAAGGAAACCTCTCCTCTTCCCTTAAAGAACAGTGGTTCTACTTCACCCCTCAAAAACTCCCACCGTAAAAGACAAAAAAGGGTGTTGCTTGAGTACTGCTGTATCGCAGTGCCCTGTGGTTGCCATCTGGTTCCTCGGGTTGCCTTATTTATAGAATGGGTGGAACAAGAACGTGATTTTGATTTACAACCCCCATAATTTTTTCTGTTTTGTAACAGACATGGCCCAACCAGTACAAGCAGTCTAGCTCTGGGATGTTCAGAGGTCTCTTGCCCAACAGGTTCAAATACTTGGCTCTGTCTTTTGTATGAGAAATGAACAGTTCAAGCAACCCCTAAAAATAAATACTTACAGCACTTGGAAAATTAATAGGTTTTGATTCCAACAGGGATTAAAAAAAAAAAATAAAATACTCACTACACATTCCCATTGCAGGAAGTTTTACAACCACTATTTCACTTCCGATGACTGAGAAGGAACAGTATAATGAAGAAATCCTCACCTAGGCACTTTCAGTAAAGAATCTGGCCAGACATCTTTCTAAAGAGACTGACATATATCCCAATTGCTTTTTATGAGACGATGAGAAGCTCTACAATTATCATGTGTATTTTGATCTTCACTGATACCTAATAGCTGCAGGAAATTACACACTGCGCTGTACCTGCTGTAAGCTTATCCCTTCTCTATCCTGTTATTAACTGTTCTCCTTTTTGAACTTGCAGCATCTCCTAATCCAGCCATCAAAATGGAAGAAAATGCCAACACCAGCTTTGAAGAAGATTTTGAAGGACAGGCAACACACACAGGCAAGGAAACTAACTGCATTTTTTTTTTTCTAAAAATAAGCTAAACTGCCCCTGTTCACTGGGAAAGCCCAGAATTTGAGTAGATCCAATTGGTTTGCCAAACTCCTTCCACAGAAACATAGGCCCCAAAGCCAATAAGAATGTATTTTGAAGTAAGTGACACCCCTCACAGAAGGGCAGGTAACACCAAACTGATCTTTGTGCCAATCCTCCTCATACCTGAAGCAAACGGCAAACGCAGAAGATACCTGAAGAAGCCACCAACAGCAATGGCCCAATGCAGCTCTTGTTGGTTTATTGCTTCAGTCATGAACAATGGCCTTTCTTCTGCTGGGGAAAAGAGAAGAAAACAAAACTGCCAAAAATACACTCACATGCTATAATTAGGTTATAAGGTTTCACTATAAAGGCTGAATTACTTTCTCCTTCTTATAGAAGGAACATTCAGTGCTAAAGTGAACCTATAAATCCTTTTGGCAAACACAGCGTGGCATTTAAAAGCATCCTTGCTCAGAATCACAATTCTTTTTAATCCAGCATTCAATCACGATGATTTTTATGAGTACTGACATTGTATTCAGCTCTACAGACAGGTATCACTTCATCGCACCCCACCAACAGGTAACTAAATAGCAATCATTCCCTCCCGGTGCTCCGAGGGCTTCTTTTTCTTTGTGCTGTAATAAATGTAGCTCTTGTAATAATTCTTTCTGGGGTTCTTTCCCAACCAGCCTTGCTGCTGGTGGCTAAAGTTATTATATATACATATATTTATTTATTTTTATTTTTAGGGATCCATATGTAGGGTGCTACACCCACACCTACCTAGGCTTCAAAATAGTTTTGGAATTCAGGCTACTGTACTGTTATTGCTATGCCAATAGGTTCAAGCTAATTACTGCTTTGGAATCTTGTTTGCAAAAGAGCAGGTCACCTTCCCACTACATCCCTTCCCTACATCAAGGGGTGTAGTGTCTTTAGCCAGCACTTCAAGATATTGAAATTTAATTCAAAACAGAGCCTTGGCAACTGGCAACACCACATCTCTCTCATGACAGGGAGAGCTGCTTACCTAGCCTTTTCTAAATTTTCCACAGAAATAAACTTCACCTCTGAAAACATGAGAATATCCTTGTTTTTGCTTCATAATCTAAGATGCACATTAAAATGTTTCACTTTGAAAAACACTACTGCTATTCTGAAATGAATTTTTTTTTCCCCCATTTCAAAATCTAACTGCTTTAATCAACCGGCTCCAAAGACCAAGATCTGCGCTACAATCAGAGTTATCACAGCATTTGCCTTACAGGTTACTTCTCCAGTGGAACGGGTATGGGTTTTTTTAAAAAAAAAAAAAAAAAAAAAAAATCAAATCGCAAGTGTCCTGTATTCTTACGTTTACTAGAAGTCCTTACACATGTTATGCATTCAAGTACACTGTCTATAGAGAAACGCAAATATACTTCTACGAAACACTAGCTTTGGCCAACATGTCGTTTTTAACTGCTTTCAACATCCTCATCCTTAACGACTCATGTAGTTCACCAAAATCCTTTTACAGGACCCTGATAGGAACCGGACCACCAAAGTGACCTACGTTAGAAAAGAAACCCTTTCTTTCAGAGGCTAATGTAACACATTGGTCCCAAAGCTCTGGTTTTCAGTAGTCCTGGAGAGTGCTCTGGAAGGAAGAGAGGTGGACAGATAAACTGCAGCACAGAAGGACAAACCAGCAAAGAGCAGAAACTTCTTAAGACAGCTTCTTGTTGCAGCCAGTTTCTCATCTAACTTCATCTCTCTTAGGGCCCAAAGGCGTGATCAATGACTGGAGGAAGTTTAAATTAGAAAGCGAAGATAGAGACTCCTTACCCTTGAGCAAGAAAGAAATTCTTAGACAAATGTCTTCACCACACAGATCTTTCAGTAAAGATAAAGACACCAGAGAGAGATTCTGCCGTAAGGTAAGGGAAGAAAAGCAAAATAAATTAATTTTGCTTCTGTATCAAACATATCGGTTACAAGCTAGAAAAACCTGAATTTGCCTTTGCAATTTAGCAGAGCTCACACAATACAGACAGAACAAATGCACATGCAACCATCTATGTAGTCCTCTCTCAAGCGAAGTCTAACTTCAGTAAAATAAGCAGTATATTTCACAACAACATATCGCACGACACAGTTTGACCTTTCTTCCTCCCTCCCCTGCCTCAGTGCTCCATCCTTGGTTAAGGCAATGGAAAATTTTTTAACACGTTTAAAAACCTACCATTCAGGATAGAGCTCTGAGCCTGAACATCACTCATTACCATTTTACCAGTTCTGAAAGGGGGGAGCCCCAAACCCAAAAAACCACAGGAATTTGACCCCACTGCAGTCTCTGGCAAAACTCCCACAACTCTGGAAGATCCAGAAGTTTTTGCCAAATATGGCGGCTGTCTTCAACACTACCAAGTTGACATGCAAGTGTTGAGACAGGATCTTCACCCATCTCTCGAAGAGACCTTCCAGAGTCACTGTAAGAAGTGACTGCTCTTCTGGCTAAGCTTTCAATGCGATGTTCTTTAGACAACAACTTGGTCTCTTCCTGTTTCAGCACCAACCGATTACCATTTATTAATATAACATTTCTCAATATTCACAGATGAGCATGCAGGAGTACGAATTAATTCATGATGAGCAAGAGGATGAAAGTTGCCTACAAAAATACCGCAAACGCTGCATGCAGGATATGCACCAGAGGCTGAGTTTTGGACCAAAATACGGTTATCTCTGTGAGCTGCAGAACGGGGAACAATTCCTGGAAGCCATCGAGAAAGAACGTAAAACTACCACAGTCATCGTCCACATTTACGAAGACGGCATCAAGGGCTGCGATGCTCTCAACAACAGCTTGACCTGCCTGGCGGCTGAGTACGCCACCGTGAAGTTCTGCAAGATCAAGGCCTCCAACACGGGGGCTGGAGACCGCTTCTCAAACGAAGTGCTTCCCACTCTACTTGTCTATAAGGGTGGGGAGCTTCTGAGCAATTTCATTAGCATTTCTGAACAATTTAATGAGGAGTTTTTTGCCGTGGATGTGGAGTCTTTCCTAAATGAGTATGGGCTGCTACCTGAAAGGGAGCTTCCAGCACTGGGAAATGGCAACACAGATGAGCAAGATGTTGAATAATTAGAGAGCCATAGTCCTCACTGTCTCCCTTTCCTCTTCAGTATGTTGTAAGTCAATCTCAGTAACACCCATCTCATTTAGAGAAGGCTGTCTTTGCTAACTTATTTGTAAGATACACATATATAAAAATTGCTTAACCGTTAGTATGTGAATTTTGCTTAAAACGCATACAACTGGCAGTCCTGTACATAATTATTTCTATGCCAGTCACAAGTAACAGGAAGAACAGGAGAAAATACTGGTCATTCCTAAGAAATTAAGGAACAACAACGAAAAAAAAAAATAAAAATTGAGGGCCCACGCCTGTCTCCACAAAGCACAGGAACTTCATTTCAACAGGAACATGGCTGATCCAACGCTCTGCATACACAAAAAGCCGTCTCCATGCTCTGGAATTACAGTGAATCCTGGCTCTTCAGATTAACTTCTACCAACTTCAGTAGGAAAAAGATCTCATCCAGCAGTTTTAAGGACAAACAAATAGCCCAAAGTCCTTGCATTCCTAAATGGCTTAGGTATCTAGGACATTATTTTATGCTTCAGCATTTAACTTTCAATATTCATGAAAATACAGGTTAGCGTGGTGCTTCTATAAGTTTGTCATCCAAACAGCTAACACAGACACATTATCAGCTAATTTCAGTTAATTGTTGCTCCATATTTTGAACAGTAATATTTAAAATGTCTGTGAGTTACTGAAAAAGTATATTGTGTTTATGTAACAACTCTGAATAAAGCTTACCAGCTCTCAAAACCTGCCATTGGAAGTGTGAAATATATTGGTAGTACACAACCTTAACAACATGTGAAAAATTAGTGAGGACTCATTAGACATTTACTAAACTCAAAGTTTTAAGTTTTGCTAAAGGGATGCTGCTGAGAACTACAGTTTAACAATCCATTTGAGAGGAAGACACAGGGTAAACTCGCTATAAACCTTCCTCTCTTTCTCTCTGTAGGTCTAAAAAAGCCACCTCCTTCAGTTCTGGTACAAGACAACAAAACATTAGAAACAATTCAATGACTTCTTTTGCACGCTGGCAAAGCTGCAGGTTGAATTTTACTCTAAGGATAGAAATATCTGTATCGTACTCCGAGGACAGAAATATCTATATCTTAACCACACACAATTTTGCTGATAACATTTGATATTATCAAAATGTTAAAGATTATTTTGAGTACTCGTATGACTCACTAGTTTTTATTTGATTTGGTAAGTTTCATGTTTTGCTTAATTCGGAGTAGGAGCTTTCAGTTTTGCTTTGGGTCAGGATCCCACCACGGAAATGTCGCCCTGTGAAATTCTCCGTATAGATCAGTAAGGATTCAGAATTGAGTGGCCAGGACCAAGGAACCACTGCTGCAGTGATATAACCCATGCATTAAAAGCAGGTTCTTACAACTCTTTTAAATACTTTTTTTTCTCCACTTTTCATTCTCATGGAAAATTCACAGGAACAGCTGAAAGTTACACTACTTTCCAACAGATCTGCAAAACAAAATAATTCTACTCAAAAACATTTGGGAAATACAACCCTGCAAAACATTACTGAAGAAGTCATAAGATACCCTTTCAAATAAACGATTTAAACACAACTTATAACTTGTTTTAAATAATGGTGGGGAAAAAAAAGAAAATCTGTCTTTTTTATTTGTCCAGTTCTAGGCACCATCAAAATGCTACTGAATTTCTACTTTTAATATTGTTTTGCCATATTTTACCAGAGCACTAGAAACCTTGCCTCGTGTACACTAAGCAATATGAATGAAGTATGAAGTTCCTTATCATGTCTTAACAATGTACAATCTTCTTTAACCTGTAAAACAATTCATTACTTTACTTCACTATGAATTCAAATAGCATCTTCCCAAAATGTTATGATTTCCGTGTTGTAAATTTCTGAATGCAAGACCGTCATAAGTTTTTCTTATGGAACTCTAGGTGGAATAAAGCTTTTCCCTTACAGCAGTCCTTTTTCCCCTTACTCAAGCATGATGTTTACCCCTCAGTAAAATCACCTTCATCTTAACATTTCATTTGCATCAGTAGGTCAACTCTTCAGAAAGCTACCATTTGTCGATATACTTAACATTATGAAAATCTGATGATCTTGTAACAGGTTGTGTACAAAATAACAAATCATATTCTATCACAAAAATAAACAGTTATCCAAGTAGCAGGACAATATTTGTCTTGTGTTTTTTGATGAGATGTTTTAAAAAGGCATGAAAAATTTCTGTCCTCTACCCACCAGAAAATCTCCACATAACTGGTGGGTACTTAACACTCTGGAGAACGTTCCTTCTTTACTAAACTTGGTTCAAAATTTAGTAGGCTGCACATCAGCAGCCTGATCACATAAGCAAACTTCATTTCTTTGAGAAACCAGGCTGAAAGTAAAAAAATCCAAACAAACGATAAACACCGCAGAAACTACATTTATAGTTAGTTAAGAGACAGATTAAGCATGCTTAAGTAGGATTTCCTTCAATGTGTAATTTAAAACAAACCCACACATGTGACACCAAGCCTCGACAGAGGCTCATGACTAATGAAATTGCAAATAAAGCTCTGATCACAGCAGTCATTCATATTTCTGCAGGAAAAAAACCCAAACCAAAACTTAAAAACAAAAAGCAAGACTTGACTCAAACACCATACTACTAGATGAAGATTCTTGAATAACAAGAAGTAAATGCTTCAATAAGCACATGGGAGCAGCCTTTCTGCTATCCTCAGCTACGATTACTGTTCCTTTTGACCCAAAGTCACAAAGACCCTGAACATCCTCAAATATTCTGATGCAGATAAAAATGGAGGAGAGGGGGGAAGAAATGATCAGGGGTGTCACTGTTGATCAAACTAAGAACAGAAGCTCTAGTAGATGCACGTCTGTTATCGGCATGCTAAATGCTACCCCTCAGATGCAAGGAATTATAAACCTCATTGTACAAGGCCACCGAGGCTTTTTAAAATTACATTTTAAAACTACATAGCACAGAAAATAAGCTTTCTGCAAAATTATTCCGTAACATCAATTTTAGAACTACACTTAGAAGAGTCAGATTTTCAGACATGGAAGTCCCAATCGTTCCTCTAGACTCTTACATATTAAAATAAAAATATATCTGCAGTCATGGATACAAATTAATAAGCTCAGTTTCAGTCATGATGGAGTTTTCACAAACTGAAAGCTTCAGAAGATTATATAGGTACCAGCAAAAGGATAAACCTATATGAAATCTGAGCAAAACTTAAGCAGTAGTCAAGAAATAAGACTTTTGAAAGATTGCTTTCCTTTTTTCTTACACATACCTTTTCGTTTTTCTTAAAGAACGTCTTTTCTTAGGTTATTATTGGCTAACAAAAGGATGTACAAAAGTACAAAACAAAAGTAACAAAAGTACAAAAAGGATGGGAAGCAAGATGACAACGAAATCCCCTCTTAGTTAGTCCTGTAATTCTTAGACAAGCGAGAACCTGCTTTCTTCTACATCCATTATTTCCTCATGGCAGGATGACTGGAAGGCTCAATCTGTAGATACAAGTCAAATTACTCATTTTTTCTTTGACAGGGTTAAATTATTTTCTTATTGCACAGACAGTAGCTAAATGCAGTCTCCTGTACTGAAGCAGAATCTCATCCAAAACAACTTCTTCCTTCACCTTCTTCTAACCTCAAATTGGAAAATTAGACTTCCACAGATCCTTGATATCTAGTTAGTTATAAGCTGAAGGATTAATTTGATGGTCTGTAGCAACACCGTGAAGAAAAGGATCGTTTACTAATCACTGAGTAAGTTTTGCAGGGAGGGGAGAAAAACAGAGTTCTTTGCTAGGGGATCCATGGAATAACACCTCCAAACAAGCCCTACTTTTTACACCACAGGTGCTAAACAAGAAGAACTATTGGAAGAGTATTTCATGATAATTCTCTTCTCTGGTGTAAGACATTTAGGAGGTCAAATGTTGTACTTCACTTCTATGGCTGAGTTTTGAGTAACAGGCAACTACAGAAAAACCACTTTGTATTTTACTTCCAAAAGCATACCCCACCCCCAAAAAAAGAAAAAAGAAAAAAAGAAGAGACAAAAAGAGACATAAGACAAACTTCTTCTCACTACTCCCCTGCTCCTCCTTCTAACAGAGACTTTAGCAGAGCAATTTTAAAACCAACTATATTTTGAAGCACATTACAAAATTCATCTCATTTTCTGGACAGCACTCAACCTTCTCCGGAATCAACTGCTTCTGCATAATGCCATCTTGCCTATTGATTCCACTCATTTGCACCAAATAACATGCATCTATAAAACATGTAGCAGCTGAAAACAGTGCCTCCATTAGAATATTCCCTTTCCTCTGAGAGGCCCTACTTGAGCAATACTGGTCACAAAAGATCAACACTGTGTTCCAAAATATAGTTAGAATACTAAAAGAAGCTCTTTTTCCAAAAATGTAAAACAGAATACACATATGAGGCAATAGTATTTAAGACACCTTTCTCATAGTTGCCTTTTATTAAAAGTATCCCAATACATCCTTGATTATGCTTTAGAACCAAAGTGTTTATATTTTTTGTTAGCGTTCCAGTGCCTTTATACAAAAAAGAAGTTTGCAGCGGTATTAAAAAGCCCTAAAGTCTGGAATTCTTTTCTATTGTAGTTCAGATCCAGGTAAATATCACATTTCATATAGGAATTATCTTTATTATTATTACTAGAACTCTGCCTTCCTTCCACTCTCCTCATAGCAAGTAAGCAATATTGTTATCGCCTAACATACCCAGGAGAGTATCTCATAATGGAAAGCTATCTGTTTACAGTCCAAAAATCCTGATTAGCAAACAATTTTGACAATTTGCTTGTATCTACAAGATAATACACAAGGGTTGCCTAGATGTAGCTATTGCTGAAATAGTTAATATTCCAAGAGAATGATGATTAAATCAGAGCCGGACAGAGAAATCCTCATCGAGTCACTGAGTAAAAGGCAGCATATACACATCTCAAAAGTTCTATGCATTTTACTGATTTCTGAGTTCTCCAAGTCTTGAACTAAGGTATTTACAGGCTGAATTGGTCTAGTCTTGAAACTACCAGAAACTATTTGTATACCTATTATACTAGTTAACCAATATTATCTAAGACGATGCATACGGTCAAATGCTGGCTTCATTAAATCTATTTTTTCCCCAATTAACTTAAACGAGATGAGATTTCTCTTAGCAAAGGAACCCCTAAAGCAAGAATTGTCATATCAGGTAACTATGCTAGTCTTACCAATAGCCTGAAAAACACCAGTAGTAGCATTTTGCATTAAAACAGCAAGTAGGAAGAAAATGAAGGTTCTACATTTGTTTAAGGGATCTTTCTGGAAAATGCTACATTTATACAGAGCGATAGGGGTAGTTTCTTGTAAATTTGATTCACCTTCTACTTGATACTGTAACCACAGGATACAGTAAGTGCATGCTGGAACAAGGTAACTGAATCTATCATTATAATTTATATTGCATATCAAACTGGTGATATTTAGGCAACAATTCTTAATTACTAATACATTAAACCCAGATGTTTCCATCTTGTAACTGGCCAATACTTCCAGGAAGCTCCAGTTGCTTGAGTTTAATCACTGAAGTAATTGAAAGAGAAGATCGATGCAAAGACTGCAACAGCAGCTGCTATTACCACACCTAAAATAACAAAGGAAATGCATTCAGTGAGTGGCAAGGGCAGCACAGTCAGCAGCAGCTAGGGTGTGGAGAGCAAGGTCAAGGTGAATGACAAGCAGGAGGAGAAACAATGACAGCCACCCCAAAAACTATCTACCACCGCTAAGCCTAAATCTAAAGCCATGATGTCAGATAATTAAATTATAAAAGCTCCACATGACATTTCTAATCAGAGCAGGATCCTTCCAGAAATCTAGCTGATGTCTGCATACATCTGTAGTACCTTGGCCAGGTCCTGGCCTATAAAATAATGCACTCACTGACTCTGTGCTACTGCTTAATTCTAGGAATCAGAGTAGGAAAAATAACAAAAATTTGAAGCTTTAAGAAACAAAAGCTATTAAGCGTTTTCTTTTCTGTGTGGCACTACGTCTACTCTGTAACTCTCTTTGTAGCACAACAGTTATTTTCCTATTGATTAACTTGCTTGTTACTGATGTGGTTGAGAAGACGACACAGAAAAAAATCCCAAATACCTGAGTGATCATTCAAGGGAAAACATTTTTACATCCAAAGCAAACACATCTACTGCTACTACTCTTTAATCTTTCAGTTACCACATTCTACTTCTAAGAACTAACAGGAAACAAAAGTTACTGTTTTGTTGACTAAAGTGTAACTGTATTATGTTAATATATATGAAAATAATATAATAGACAGTCAAAACTCACAGCAAAGAGAACTGTACTAAGTGCAGACAGATACATAAGAGTAGGACAAAAGAGTGTCATGGAGAAATTGTATTTGAAAGAAGAGTTCTGTGGCTGGTGTTCCCTGAATTACTGAGGCTGACAATTAGCACTCAAGCCTGTATGTATTTGTCAGCTTCGGAAGAAGATTAGTGAGTCACTAGCCAATTTATGGATGCCTATTTGACAAAGCCATTCAACCGTGTTCGGTTTTTTAGAAGTACAGAATTACAGAAGCGATGGCTCTCCACAAAAGAAATAAAGCTACATGAGCCTTTTGTATTGACTTGTAGGCTGAATGAATGCAAACGCTGGCTTTGTTCCAACAGCAGGCTGTGGTTCTTTCTTCCCCAGAAACTACCCTGCACCTACAATACTGAAATCAGGGGTTATTTTCAAAAGTATTGTATTGATCTCACCAGTTTATTAATAACGCTGTGGAAGCTAACAGTACTGAAAGGGCCATTATAGTTTCTGGATTGCCATAGCAAAAAATCAGGGAAGTAACGTACCCATATTTTGTTGAAGTTTCAACAGCAATGTTGCTTTTGTCAGTTGTTTCTGTTGTGTGTCATCCATGTTGTCAGTAACCGGACAAATATCAACTGCATGGAAATCAAGTGAAGAAGTAAATACCAGGTGAAAAACTAACAGTTGTGTTTTACAGTTGAATTACTGCAAATGGTCAAGAACTTCATACCAACTTTATCAAGTACATCTGTGGTACAAAAAACAGTTTATTGCAGTAGAAATGGTGCAGTAGCAACAGCATAGTACTAAACTATTCTATATGGCTGGAAGAGTGAAAATAAGGAGAAAAAATACATTTGGGAAGGAGTTCCCCTTCCACAACTCATTTTCCACACCCTGCTTCCAGAGTAACCTATCCAACCCCCTTTACATAACCTGGGGAGAATTTGACTACTCTGAGAGGCAGGCACCAAAATGAACCATTAACCACCTTCCCAGATCAAATTTTTCCCTTCAAAGCCATCTGTCCAGACCTCAGGCCGCATGCAAAACCCATTGCCACTAAAAGAGTGAGTCCAGCATCATTATCCTACCCAACAGCCATAAACGCTTTTTTTCAAAGCACAGAAATTCCTTTTCAAAGATCTCCTACAAATACATTTTCAGAGCAGGCATAGAGGACACTTTCCCCTTTGGAACAACTATTAAATCCTTAGACTGCTCAGCCAGGATGTCAGAGAGCTTGACTCTATTTCCAGACTGATAGGATTCCCGTATCTATGTCCTTTCCAAGGATTTCCCTAATCACTTGGCTATATCCAGCTTGTTAGAGAAGGGGAGGAGGGAAAGAAGGGGATTAATCTTGAGTCCTCTAGCTGAACTCGTTTGTTTGTACAACAGAGAACCAGCACGCTTCGGACTACGCAGTTCAGTGATAAGGCAACTTGATGGTGGTGGGCCAAAGGTTTTCAATTTTCATTCCTGTTCCCAGGATAGTTTGCTAAGGCATCACTTGTTAAAAGTTCTGATTATAATTCAGCAGCAACTATTGCAGACATCTTCTGGACAAGTAAACAGTAAGAGAAAGTTTGTACTATTGCAGTGAGATGTGGATGTCTTTGGAAAGAACAAAATGGGCATGCTGAGGTAAGAAAAAAAGCCTAACAGATTGTTCTTGTTCAGAAGATTAAGAAGAAAAACCCACAGCAGTACCAGATCTCAAGTTTTAGCAGTCCATGGAATACTGATCTAAATAAAAACAGATCTCCCATTTCCAGAGTAGGGTTGTCAGTCACCTATAAATTACAAATTATATAGTTGAGTAATAAGGCACATCCCTTGTATGATTCATATGAAAATGATTCATGGAAAAGTACTTTCTCTATCATATCATGAGCTATGGGGGAAATGTATAACCTAGATATGTGATCAGAAAGGTTGTTCCTGTCATCTAAGATGAGTCATGTGCATGACTGTCTTCAAAATCTTCTGAAGTCAAACTTGCACAAGATCTGTTGTTACACAAAAGCCCTCAAACTAGACATTTAGGACCTGTCTTTAGCCATTTTTATCCCTGAACCCACTGACTTTGTATAGTATGTACAGCAGAGCAATTAGTAACTGTCCGATATGAAACTTAACAGGGTATCAAGATACACAGATATACAGACAAACACATGCATACATTAAGCATAAACATTGTTTTGAGATCTCTCTGCAAGCTGCACAAGTGTGTAAAATAAAAATAAGGACACAACATGTCAATGCAAGGGGTGCATTTTTGAAGAGAAATTATCAAATATCTCTGAAGCCCACTGGTCTACAACGAGGCCATCGTTTCATCATTATTTTTTCTGTACAAAGGAAAACACTCCCTCATCGGCCTAAAACATGAGCAGAAATCTTCAACTAGAGCAAAGGAATTATTAATTGTTGCAACACAGCTTTTAAAGTAAGTACCTGAATTAGCACAATAAGAGCACCACATTCTTTCCAAACTACAACAGTTTTCAATTCCCTAAAATAACATATCACTTTTAGAGAAGCTGACAGCATTTCTTGTGTCACCTTTGAAGTCTAGATCCAGCAGGTTTCCTTCTGCTTTAGTTTTGATGAGCAAGTAGGATAGTTTGTGCACTCTAACTTTATGTTTCTTTGCACCTTCCTAAGAACTGTTGCACTTTTCTGAAGGTAACTTTTGAAGGTGCACATCAAGGCAGCAATGCTTGCTTGCTCAGGGTTTTTAAAAAAAAAAACAAACACACAGAGGAAAAAAGAAAAAAGAAACACCCTTGAGCTATTTAGTTATCAAAGGCATTTATGCCATTAAGTTATGGAAGACTTGCATGTGAAGTGGCTGTAGGATAACTAACACAAAGAGTTTTCAAAAGCTGATGCTTTCCAGCACCAATTATATGAATCCTTAATTCTTCATTAAATTCTTCAATTCACTAACAAAGATGGGGAAGTGATTACCACTACTGAAGTTTTATTTATGTTTATCCACTCAGGCTATTTAACACACCACCCCCACCCCCGGCACCAAGGAGGAGCAGGGACTTAGTAAAGCCAATCATAAATGCAGAGTTTTCAATTGCTTGTTTTAAAGCACTAAATACCTTGAAACAACAGTGTTAGAGCTATTTATATCTTTCAATTATAAATAGGTCCATTTTTACTTTCTATTTTCCATGTAACAATTTTAAAGCATGACCCAGTAGCGATCTCACTGGAGAGCCGTACAAGAAATCAAGAGAATAAAACTGTAGAAGACAGCAGCAGAGGCCGTACTAAGTAAGCACATAAAGTTGACCTTCTCAAAATACCTTTGTTTCATATGTTTTGACTAAAAGCTGTTTAAAAAATAAATCTTTTGGCTATACCGATTAGATCCTCTTCTTCTCAAGTGCATATTTTAAAGAGCAATAAAAAAAGAAATTATTTCAAAAACCTACTCGTGTTCTTGAATTTTAAACAATTCTTTTTCTCAGGAAACCTTCCCCTGAACTTCACTACGGATAGCATTCCCAGTTAATTCAAGGTTGGTGCCTAAGACCACAGGAATGGTGATACAAACAGAAAGGCTGATGTCAAAATTCACTACAAACCAATTTTTACACCATTATTGAATATTGACTATTATTAATAAAGATAGTACTATGCTTTGAGAAACAACAAATGCTACTCAAATTGGAATGATGCATTAAAAAAGCCTTTACCCAAGGGAAACCCCAAACTCTCGTTATGTCACAAAAATATGTTTACAGCAATACTTAGACACTTCATACCAAAGTACCAATAAAAATCAAATTGCAAAATTAATGTTTTCTCTTACAACGTAGAACACTTTTCTTACACAGTTAACAGCTCTACTTTCTATGACGGCCTTCTTGGTATTAATAAAAGTGTATAAATATCTTGTGATTTTAATAAACCACAAGTTAATAATGCCATAACAATAACTATCAGAATCGAACAGTGTTGTGCTGATAGCACTACTACTATCATCACTATTAACAGAACCCATGCTACGGACAAACTTTACGGTGTTCACCGGGACAAGGCCAGTCTCTCATTTTTTTCTGAAATCCTCTTTCTATGTTTTTCCCCTCTCCTCTGCTACGCACTTACTTTAATCTGAATTTTCAAAAAAAGAAAACAAATCCCCCACACCTAACTCTATAACCAGCAAGCTACAAGAACACACAAACCCATTTTGTGAGCTACCTGGACATCATTTTACGTGTACTACTGGCACCAAATCTTTGTGAGGCATTGCTGTTAGTCTAATTGTGCTTTCTTCCTACCTCCAGATCATACATCCTTGCATAAGCAATAAAGCTAAGCTGAATCATCTCCTCTCTCCCTCCCACACCTATCTCCACTGCTACAACAATATTAATTTGCGTCCCTAAGTTATACCAATTCTTTAAAGCTCAGTAATAATTAGCTTTAAGATTATTAAAGTTACTCTTATAATGCAAGAGAGATTTTTATTGGCTTTCCTGTTTTTCTTGAGGTTCTTCAGCTGTGTACATCTTTTACTTATGAAGATAATGAATCAGATTTGCAGCTAACAGGTCTAGTTAAAGCCTGGGGAAAATTGATTAATTTAGAAAGACCTAAGAATTTATGGTTAGCTCTGAAAGTAAGAAACTCAAAAAACCCTCCAGGTAAACAAGTAGGTCAAGTAGAATATCACAGTTCACCCTACACAGCAAGCTCATGGCCACATTTCCCATTTTTTGTCCCTAAATACCAACATCAAAAAGTATTCACAGTTCTTATCTGAGAACTAGTGTTATTTTTTCAAGATTTAAATTATAAACTAATAACCTGCAGCTCATATTCACACTGATGGGGGAAAAAAGGCGTGACAAGAAATCTCTTCCATAAGGTCACAGGAAGTATTATTGGACGCATTTCAACTACAGATTTGACTCCTGCATTGAAATCAGTCGTATGAGGGGAAAAAAAAACAAACAGGAAACAATATAAACCAGAAATATTCCGAAACAGGAAGTCAATAACTAGATTACAGCAAAATATCTCTGTTAAAGGGAATGTAACAGTCTCACAATCAGATCACAGACTTGTAAGACATTCAGTAGAAAATGAAAAGCCCTCTCAATTTTCTTTTAATTTTGGGTAAATCACAAAACTTCAGTTTTGGTCACTGTATTTGACACACAAATGAAAACACTCAGAACAAAGAAAGGTGCTTTACATTTTTGAAAAAGTCAGGTTTTAGCATGAGAATTTCCTGAAAGACACATTACACTACATATATTTTTTGCTAATAGCATTTTTAAAGTATTCTTAATTATTTAGTAAAAAAATCAGTAGATTTGACTAAAGCACTCAACTTCCTGTTCTAAGTAGTATCACACTATTCAGCTCTAAAAAAGCTGAACTACTGAAAAAGTAACCAGAATATAAAGCTTTACAGGTTTTTCTTTCAGTTTATTTACCAATATAGGATCACCTCTAATTCATGCACAGAGTAACGCATGCAAACCTTGTTTAACCATGTATTTATGTATCTACCGCAGTTCATGAGCTGCAACCACGGTTGCACAGATAATGCAGTGAAAGAGCAAAACATTTGAGAGGAGAAACAGACATTTGTTCAAGCCAAACAGAAATTGCAAGAACCCTTACCATTTTTCACAAATATATTTAAACTGGAATTTGATATAAACCCTTTGAGCTTGATATGCAGTACGCCAACTTTAAGCATATCCATATCTGGATAAAACTGGCCTACATCATTAGTCAACATTTTTGTGATCCATGATGATGAACTATCCTGATTCTCAGATATTTTATTTACCTGTGTTAAATTCCTCTGCTATATGGATATCTTCAGCTTGCACAGATTGATCCAACATCTCAACAAAACGTTCCTGAATTTCTCCAGCAGCCTCATCACGAAACTTATAATCACTGAGCATCACGCTGGAACCAGCAACAGGGACAAACAGTCTCTGAGGTAAGACATGATATTCCCTTTTCAAATCTAAAAGAAAAGCGGGAAAAAATACCATCCAAATAAAAGTCTTGCCAGTTATAACATTCCTCAGTAATCTCTGACCTTAAGATAAAGCTATTGCAAAAGAACTGCTCAAGGTTTTGATATAAAAAATGCTGTTTTCAGGGATGGCTTGTTCAGTTGTTACTGGTTTATGAAAGTTTTGGCTGCTATTGTATTGATTTATGTTCCTACATTAGTATCTCCAGAAATACCCGAGACACCTCCAAAACAGACCATAAAATGTTAACTCGACCTTTTTTCATGTTTAGAATGACTAGCAAAAGAACTCTGGGAAACACTCCAGATAAGAGGGTACATAGAACACCACATGATTTCAACACCACAAAGGATTGCAAATATTCGTCTGCTCTACACCACACCTAAAGCCACGAAGTACGGGTGCCACCTAAAGAGGAAACTGAAAACTGCACGCAACTGAAAACAAGTTTAAATCATGCAGGTTAGATAAAGTTGGCTGACACCAAAACGAATCACGTTATCCTAAGGTAAATGGTAATTCTGAACAGGAATCGTTTTTCCTTACACAATCAATTTGTTTCCATTTCTTTTCTATTTTTCTCTAAAATCACTACCAAAGATAGTATCTTTTAAAAGCTTTTCCTTTATACAAGATCTTCAAAATGATATTTCAATTAACTAGTAATATTTGGTTTAAAAAAGAAAAAACAAACAAAACCAACACAATAACGAAGAAGATAACTTGATATCATTGCACTGACTCAAAGAAGTTTAAAGAATCACCCAGCATGAGCTAGGAGATCTGGTCTCAGCATATACCCCCTTAGTTTTTAATATAATCATGATAGGAAGTTTTACTTTCATTAGATCAATTTGCATTGTCTTCTGGCAACTGCATGGTGCCCTGTTAAATGCAAGCTAACGCAATCCAGCAATTCGTTATGGTGCTGAAATAAGATCTACTTGGTTAAAAGACACAAAGCCTGTAAAATAGTATTTGATGAAGAGAAATAATTTCAGGGGGCAGAGACAACACAAATGATATATTTGTACAGTTAGTTAAAAAAAAAAATTAAATCAGGATACTTCTTCACATAATGATCACCACATACAATGCCATATTTAATTTAATGGAGGTGAACTATTGAACTTCAGAGCTCATGTGCACCAGCATTTATAACAGAGGCGATGTAAAAACATGGAAGGTCATGTCCAGCTGGTTCTTTTAATCCTACCAAGTTTTAGCATACTTCATTATTAACACCACACAGGGATTTTTTTAAAAAAACTCCCAAAACTAACTTTAAAATGTGCAAGTTACATTAGAACTTCAGTGACAGAAGTATCAATTACAGAATTTTTAAAAATTACAAAATTTCCGATTAGTGAGAAAGAAGCTGAAATTGCATTTTGTGGCCATGAGAACCGAATACAACCTTGATGTGAAAGCTGCTATGCCAAAGAACATATTTGAATCTGAGAAAAATTCTCCAGATTTAAGAAAAAGTCAAGGTTGCCAAACACAAATTGTGCCATTTGCTTTTTATTCTGCTCTAACCACACTAGAAGTTCAGTATACCAGCAGAATTTTCTACAACCAAAAATCACTGCAAATGTAAGATTTTATTATTTTTTTTTAATTCCTACTTTTTTTGTGAGGTCCTTCATTTATAATCAGATCTTCAAATAGTATTTCACACCGATCACTCAATGTGTTTATTATGTCTCTTTTCAAAGCCTGCAAGGACAAAGTGAAAACATCCGTAATATAAAAGCCATTTGCAAAGCTTTTGACTAGTAAGAACAAAAGAAGTCCCTCATAGGTTTAACTCATGTTGAAAGAACAGTTTTTTCCCCAAAACAAAAACTCTAAAGAGAATTTTAAAATGTCTAATAAAGAGAAGCTAACATCAAAAAAATTAAAATAAAAAAAAGCAAAACAAAAATTAAAAGCTGAGAAAATTTTTAGTATTGTTAGAATAAGAACTGACAACTTCTAGACATTATCATTTTAAAAAAAAATAAAATAAAATCACAAGGCATTGACTCAGTAAAAAAAAGGGGGGGGGCGGGGGGGAAATCACTGAACAAATAAATCTGTATTTTCCCTCTACATATACAAAACTATCGTCTGCAACCTTTTCTTAATTGTAAGAAAATCCTTCGAAGCCTAATCACTTTGACAATTTGTGCAAAGATTCACGAGAGAATATCCTTAACAACAGGAGCCATACCTGCTAAAAATGAAAACGGAACTCAGTCCACCACATACACACACAGATGGTTTCTGAAACAATCCCTACGTTCAAGGGGATGAACATTTTGACCTCAGTTTAGACCACATCATTTAGGCAAAGAAAAACCAGTACGACAAATTTCATGTATTTCAGAAAACTCTTTCAGATGAACTAACAACCTTTTCAGTACCTGAACAGCTTCTTTAACTTTTGGCTTGTTGTTATGTACGTAGGCTCTGCATTTCACAGCACCTTTGAGATTTATGGAACCACTGCAGACCTGGACTGTAGCTGTTGATCTATGGCTTGAACTCTGGGACTGAAAAATAAACATGTTTCAATTTTATCTTGTTACCAAGGCACTTGCAGAATGAGTAACAAAAATCAGAACTAGGAAATTAATAGCATACCTTAAGATGTTTACATATAACCTGTTTTCCCTCATAATTTATAACTCTAATCTTTTTTTTTTTTTTTTTTTTTTAGTTAGTTAAGACTGAAAATCTCTCTCCTTTTCCCTTATGGAAAATGTATTTACTTTTCCAGATGTTTCATCCCTTGCGATTTAAGTATTTGCATCTATTAAGACTTCTAAAACTTTCCAGGCAAGTGGCTTGTGGCTAATATTAGTATTGCAATCTAGTTTTTATTTTTTTAAAATAATTAAGTCTGTATATTTACTATATAATCAGCACAACCTACGGTATCCTGAGAGTCATCCCATCAGTCAGCAGTAAATTATAACTGTGGTCACATTTAGAACTGTATCAAACTGTTGCCTAGAAATATTTGCCCTAATTACCAAAACAATGAGTGCGTTGTATGAAGCACTCTAAGACAACACCTGGAAACAAGGGGATGCATAACTTCCACGTGAACTGCATAAACTACTTCCGCCAAAATAAAAAGCTTTCCTTTCCCTGAAGCAATCAACCATTGGAACAACGTAACATCAAAGAAGGTGAGATACTCATCAGGTCTTTAAAGTGGCATTTTATACATTTCTAAGTTTTGCTAAACATAACTTTAGGGAACTACCTGACAAAACGGGATAGCCTGTGCTGTGCAAGAAGCCTAGAAAACAATGACTGGACACATTTCATAGAATCATAGAATCACAGAATGGTTTGGTTGGAAGGGACCTTAAAGGTCATTTAATTCCAATGCCCTGCCATGGGCAGGGTCACCTTCCACCACACCAGGTTGCTCAAAGCCCCGTCCAACCCTGAACACTGCCTCACCACCCTCACTGTCAAGAATTTCTTCCTAATATCTCATCTAAATCTTCCCTCGTCCAGTTTAAAGCCTTTGCCCCTTGTCCTATCACTCCATGCCTCTGTAAAAAGTCCCTCCCCAGCTTTCTTGTCGGCCCCTTTAGGTACTGGAAGGCTGCTCTAAGGTCTCCCCGGAGCCTTCTCTTCTCCAGGCTGAACAACCCCAACTCTCTCAGCCTGTCCTCACAGCCCTTGGATCATCTTCGTGGCCTCCTCTGGACTCGTTCCAACAGGTCCATGTCCTTCTTGTGTTGGGGGCCCCAGAGCTGAAGGCAGTACTGCAGGGGGGGTCTCACCAGAGCAGAGACTGGACTTTAGGCTCTAGACTGCGGCCTAATTTAGGGCTTAAGTCAGCATAACCTCTGGGAGACGAAGCTCCTGACACAGACCCAACAGCTCCAGATTATGATTCAGCTCACAGGATCTGTACCTTAATCCAGAACTAGTGACTGAGCTTCTGAGAAAGCATTCAAGGAAATGTCCATAGCTAGCCAGGGCAAGTTGAAGCGTACAGGTGGTTCTGAACTTTTGAAATCAATGTATGCAGGTACATACAGGTATCCTTCTATCAAATTAATTCATTTGCAGGACTTCATTTCTATAACCAGTTTTTCAAATTTTCCTTGCAGCTACACTGTGCAATTCTTAGACGACGTGACTATCACACCACAAGAATTTCTAAAGACACGAAATATGCAGATCTGTCTAAGATCAGTTTCACAGGTAATGTCCATGGGGGGGAAAAAAAAAAGTCTCAGGATTAAGTAAACTGGACTTCTAGACAATAATTCAGAATGTTATTTTATTTCTTATTCTATTTTATAAGATAACAGTAATGTTATACTTTGCAAATCACAAATACTTACGAGCTGCGTCAGAACCTTGACATCAGAAAACTGAGCACTGGACTGAGTATTTCCTCTTAACTTTTTCTGAGGGAAGAAAATTCTTTGTGTCATGAAACGGGGCAGGGGGTGGGGTGGGGGGGAAATCACCCTAAATCAAAGTCTCCTCACTGTGGTATAAAATGTACCCCAGTTTACAGCTTTTAAGACAGAAAAACGGCACATAGAAAACAGCCATGAGAACATAATTACAAAGCTAAAAGGAGAGATGAATTCATCAGCCAAACAAGGTGCTTCCACTCTTTGTTAAATATTTGGACATACGTAGGTCTGAGAAACCTCATCGTCTACATTCACACCTTACTCATGTTCTTTAATGACGATACAACATATAGAAAAATTTTTACTCGGACTTCACACATTATTATTGCGTTTGCATTGCCAGAGGAAGAGGAGGCAATCTGCAGCAATGAAAATGGAAACACCAGCAGCCTATTAGTTACCTGAAACAGGCCAATTAGATCAACAAATATCGTACAGAAGACATCTCAGTGAATCCTTTATCACACTGGAGGTTCTAACTACACATCTATTAGAGTACAATTCCTTGTTGTTTGGTACTCACCTGCCCTTCCAGTAGTTCTGTATCATCATCTTTAACTTGTCCATTGATCAGAAAAACACTGTCTTCTATCTGTTTTGACCATCGATTTAAGCCATTCTTTAAAAAAAGTGAAAACACAAACTCTCATCAGAAAGAGGAAAGAGAATTTCACTAAAGGAGCTGAACAGTATCATGGTGAAAATTATAGAAACATATGTTTCAACAGTTACTCCAAGAGAGTTTTAAAGTCTCTCAAAAACCTGTCTATATGTTTTTCCAAAGCTAAATCTTAAAACCAACATGTTCAGAATATATCCATTAAGAAACAAGCATTTCAAAATACTGAAGTGCTACACCAGGGATCTGATCTTTGTAGAGGGGGGATGCAACCCTATTGAAAGTCAATTCATATCAAAAGCACCCCATACTCACGTTCTAATTGGACACAACCTTTCACTAGGTGAAGCAGAAGAGACTTCAGTTGGAATACTCATGACAATTGCTAAATAATATTGAGCAAAGGAAACTGCCAACACTAAACACAGCAGAAGAAAAGCTATCCACATTTTTTATACTATGAATGCTTCATAGCAACCTCAAATTATATTTAAAAGAGGAATAAATATCATTCTCCAGTTACTAGTCCTACTTCTCTACTCACACTATCCAAATCTTTCTCTCTCATTTAATTTTCAACAGAAAAAGTAGCGTAGAGACAAAGTACAAAACTGGTGCAGCCAGTTAGTTACCTTGGCATTCTTCTCCAAGTCATGGTTCCGTGAAGTAGCAAGAAGTGGAATGTGAATATTAACATTTACTGTGCAGTCCAAAGCTAACCAGGAAGCAGACAGAGCACTCTGATATTTCCAATCTGCTGGTTTAGCTGAACTCTGAGAGCAGAATAAAACATCTATACAAAACACTGGATAACTCAAACAGAGATTTATTTTTTTTAAAAAATTACTTGTCATGCATTAAAAGTTGTATACGATACACAGGATGATGAGCTTACCTTTGGATCTTGTACATCATATGTTCGGCAAACTACTCTTTGCTACTTAAAGAAAAAGATCCAGTGAAAAGCAAAAAAAAGCAAATAAGAACAATTCACAATTAACTTTGTCCTTTACTTAACTTCTTTGTTGAGCTAATTTATGCTCTGAAGAAAGTTCTCACCTTTCATGAGTGTAAAAAAGTGGAAAAACATTTGACTGTAAACTCCAACTACCATAGTGCTGCTGTCCCATCTCTTACAAATATATTAAGATGAAAATGTACTCACAGGAAGAACCACCAATGCACCAATTTGTCCTCATCTCTCTCACCTCTCTAAAAAAACCCCTTGCTTTCTCTCCTTGATTTATCTTGTTACCAACAGACCCACCATCCTTCTGCAGCACTAGTACAGATCCCACATGCCTGCTACTTCCTCACTTCCACATAAGTATCATTGGTAGCAGTAAGCTCAAGAAAGTAGACAGTATTTCAGATGTTTTCTTCAATTTATGCAAATCAAAGCTGTCTGGGGAAGACATAACTTGATGCCACCACACAGACAAACCTAACAGGAAATTTTGAGAGGATAAGAGGCTCAATAATCTTACTCATGGCTCATCAGAAAACTTCATGATTTCAACTAACGGATCTATGCCTATCTGAACGCAACCAACTTCCTTCTCCCAATTTATCATTTATTCAGAAATAACTACAGAAATGAGGTGAGGAGTAGCAGTCACAATCAATAAAGCCTGCTCATAAAGGATACTTTTTTGTAGCAGAACAGATTTGAAGAGCTGCTCTGTCTGAGACCTCCTCCTCAGCAGGTTTCCAGAGCCTTCTTTTAGTCAAGGACTTTTCCACTGAGAAGATCAGCTAAAAATGAAAAAAATAGTACGGATTTTTCCACAAAAACATGCATTATAATTTCTAGAAAAAAAGTATTATACTAAAGTTTAAGTCCACGTGATATCATAATTATGTATAAATGGGAAATACAGTTTACATGTCACCAAAATGTCACGTTAAAAGAATATTTAACGAAGATTCATAGGCAACTACTCCAAAGCAAAAGTTGCTTGTGAAATCTTAATTCAGCTTCTTTATAAACCAAACAAAGCAACACACATTCACGTATTCAACTTGTATGCTTTTCTCCTTAGAAAAATATTACAGCTTTATGCCTATCGGTTGAGGATCAGGAAAGACAGCTGTGCAAAATAGCCGCTAATTCAAAAAAAAAAAATTCATTCAGCAATCACTGATCACCTGGACAAAGCTCACCTTTTCTTGTTGGCTACCAGTTTCAGTAATCACACCTGAGATGCAATTGTATTGCACGGTCAAAACCAAATCTTGGACCTTAGGCTTCAAAACCTACTCACGCTTAAATCACTTAACATGTTTACCTTACCAAAATGATAAAATGAATCTACACCTACAGAACAGAAACTAAATGTGGCGCTAGATGCCCCAATATTGTAACAAAAATGTATTTTAAGTCTATCAGACAGCAGGACGTTCTAATTAGTTTTTAAATATACCCCACGCACTTAAGTCAAATACCACTAGTTCTACACAAGATATTCCTTTTAAAGGAATCAGAGCTATAGATCTTTCACCAATGTAAACATCTCTAATCTGAACAATTCATTCAAACAAAAAAAGCTAACATGGTACTATTACTAACAATTGTGCCACATAGACTTAGCTTAAAATAAACTTTGATGATGTTTTCTTTAAGCCAGAACGTCCACTTTCAGTAAATCCAGTAAGATTTGCTATTGCAGTAACAAACATCACAAGAAACAGAAAGTTAGCAAATACAAGCTGTGGTACAATCCTATAGGGCAGCGATTTCTGAGGTTGCAACCTCAAAATCATACATCAAACCAGAACATTTACACTTTTAGACATAAAATGGTAAAACAACCATATATACTCGTCAATGATAGAAAATGACTCAGCTACACACCCAAAGATATTCCTGTCTTCCCACCAGGAAGTCTACTTACCTTGCGCAGAGCATTTTGACTATCTTTTGATAGTTCTGGAGTTGCAATAATAAATACACCAAGAACTAATAAGCCTCCAGGAAGCATTCTAGAAACCTTAAAAATAAAAACGAACATTTATTACTAGGAATCAGAGATCTTGCAACCATGCAACTTGATATATCAAAAATTTCTAATAAGAGAAGTGTGCATCAAGAGCAGAAATGAAGTAAGCAAGACTGTTTTTCACTTATAGGTTCCTCTGACACGCAGGAACACATCTCACATTTTCTCGCTTCAGTCCTATCAAATCTCTGTTTCATCACAAACTTTGAAAACAATCCAGTTATTTTGACTTAAAATATCTGTGCCTAGCACGGTTAGGAAGGTTCTTTTACTTTGAGAAAAAAGCTTGAGATTACACAAGTGATGAGATAGGCTTTGTCAATCTTATTTCCTTTCTATTCCTCCCACCCCCTTCATTAACTCCTACTGTGCCACCTGACTGGCGTGTGTAGTTATCCATTCTTCATCAATGGATGCCAGTTTTGAAGGACTGATGCTGTCTTCCTTCTGCTCTTCCTTTGGAGGCGTTCGAACAGCCCAAATCACATAGTCTCTTTGCGGGGAACACTTTCAAAAACATCAATATAAGCAAATATACCATGAGGTTGATATCAAGTCTGAGAATATACTGCGTAATATACTAACTGTAAGGGCTGCTTTACAAAGGTATTGTTAAACTCTACAATAATCTGTTACAAAAACAATTCCTTCATGAATTTTCTTTTGCCTGTGTCTTAAAGCCTTGTTTAGTGACAATTTTTATCTTTACAATTTTTTAATTTCTATTGTTGTATCTTTCACAGAACGACTTTAAAAGACTTCAGTAGTTGGCTGACACTGCAAACATTTTACAGAAGCCCCTTCTGGTCATGTTATCACCCTCCTGCATTATACAGGCTCAATGTGTTGTTAATAGACTTATCCCAGATGATTAAGGCCAAGGGGGTTTTCCCCTATTACCCTGAACGAATGGAATAGACTTCAGATATTACACACTTACCTGCCCTATTAATAGGCCAGTGACATAAGGCTTTAGTTTTGTGCTGAGGCCTGAAAGATACTGCCCAATAGCTTCCTCAACAAAGTAAGTTCTACCCATTGCTGCAGGTTAAGACCAAGTATTGTAGTTTCAGCCTACAAAACAAATAATGTATAAAGGCAAAGTATATATACTACACTGGTTACATGAAAATAAGAGTCTCACACAAAGATCTTGGAACAGATTAACGCTTTATCTGTCAATAAAGGTTCATTAAGTAGCTTTACAATCTGCAACTTTATTTTTTCAAATGAAAACCAGAACTCTATACTAGAGGAAGAAGTATGTGATCCTCATTTGAAAGAAAACGATCTTTACCTGCCACTAAGATGACAAGGCAAGTCATGCAAGTAAATGCTAGGAAAAACATGTCTCCAAGCAACAATTTCTTGCTGCATCACATTTCATCAGAGGCCAGAACGTAAAGTGTGCATTTTTCCAGTCACGTTCCTTTTTGAGGTACCTGCTAAATTCCACACTTGTACTTAAACATGCCATGCACCATTTTTGTTCCAATTCCTAAGGCATTAAAAGTACAACATGTGGGGACTACCCAAAAGGCCATCTTTACACCTCCCATCAGCAGTCATATGAACCCAGGACACGGGGACTGCCACGAACATCCCTCCCTTCCATACAGACCCATCCTGAAAACGGCTTCGTGCACTGAGGACTTTCACAGGCATTCACTACGAAAAAGCTGAGGCCAAAGAGCACACGGTGAGGAAGCAAAGGGCGTTCTGAGTCTCCGCAAAGGTGTCTGCTGGAGAAAGCCCCACAGGGGTGGCGGAGCTGAAGCTCTGGACCGGGGCTAGGAGCAAGCCTGTCACCTACTTCACCTCAGCCCACACAGCCGGGCCAAAAGCACCTCAGCACCCGCCTGCACCTGCACCGGAGCCCGGCCCACAGCCTGGCGGTCGCTCCCGTACAGCTCCCTCGC